AGGAACAAGTTCGAGGTTTGTTGGGCCGTCGGGAGACCGGAGCTCGGAATGAAGTGGGACATCTTGGTACATCTGTCTACCACCACCATGATGGTGGTACAAGCTTGTGAGGGAGGTAAGTCCACGATGAAATCCATGGCTATGTTGCACCATGGAAGGGTTGGCACTGGCAGAGGCTGTAATAACCCGACGGGTTTTGAGGTGGGACGTTTGTAGAGTGCACACACCGAACAGGAATCTATGAAGGAGCGTACGTCGGCTTCCAAAGCACCAAAACCGACGTAGGATGCATTCCGTGGTGTTGCGCCTACCTCGGTGGCCCGCTGTGGGGTGGTCATGGTGATGCTGTATTACAGGCAGTCGCTGGGGGACTGGGACATAGATCCATTGTTGGTGGTAACGAAGCCCCTGCTTTATCGGCAGATGGGCTGCCTCCTCTGGAGCCGGCGTGCTGGCCCGTCGGATCCTCTCGATCAAGGAGTGTTGGGTGGCCAGAAAGTATGCGGCTGGCAGGATCGGTTCCGGAGGTGCAGGATCGGTCTCGGAGGAGCACATACGGGACAAGGCATCGGCCTTGCCATTCTTGGATCCCAGTCGATAGGTTATCTGGAGGCGAAAACGGGAGAAAAAGAGAGCCCACCGGGCTTGTCAAGGACGCAGTCGCTTGGCACTGCGGAGATACTCCAGGTTGCGATGGTCGGTGTACACCACCACAGGGTTTTCGGCTCCCTCCAGCAAATGTCTCCATTCCTCCAGGGCGTCCTTGATGGCGAGCAACTCTCTCTCACCCACATCATAGTTGCGTTTGGCCCCGGTGAGTTTGCGGGAATAAAAGGCAACGGGATGGAGAAGCTGCTTCTCCCCATGGACCTGGGAGAGAACGGCCCCGATGGCCCCCTCGGAGGCGTCGGTCTCCAGATAAAACGGGCGAGAGGTGTCTGGTTGTACCAGTATAGGTGCCTGCGTGAACAGCCTCTTAAGGTGCTGGAATGCCTGTTGGACCGCCGGGGTCCATTCAAACAGGGTGTTGCTCCTGGTCAGTGCAGTGATGGGAGCGCAGATCGCTGAAAAGTTCCGAATGAATCGGCGGTAAAAATTGGCTAAGCCAATGAACTGCTGCACCATCCGCCGATTGCGGGGGCTACCTCACGGAATTCCATGATGTAGTCCTCCACCGGACGTCTGCCCTGGCGGAGGGTGCGCAAGGTACCCCTGGCGGTTGAAGAACGCAGGGGGTCATCATAAAGTATTTGCATAGCTGCGGCAAAGGACTCCCAGGATGCCTCTAGCTCTCAAATTACCTCTTCCCACGCTCGCCTGCAGGGCTTCTCCAGAGTGTCCCCGTCCTCTGGAACCCCTTACCCCATTCTGTCCGCCTATCTCTGACGCTGCCCACCTTTAGGTGATCCTTAAAAACCCATCTCTTCAGGTAAGCCTATCTCATCTCCCCATAACTGCCTTTTACTTCCTTCAATAACTCAGTTATCTATAGCTACCAGAAAAATCTCTGGTAGCTATAGACTTATATGTAGCAGCACCAAAGGATGTCAACTATCAAATGTATGGGATGTCAAAAAGATTAATGAGTATACAGACATTACTGGCAGACCTTTGACTTACCTCATGAGTATGGAACTGTTCTTTGACTTCTTCAACACTGTCAGAAATTGCTCCTTGGTTCTGTAAAGCATCTTCTGCAGAAAGAAGCCAAGAGAGCACTCCTTCCAATGCTGACTGGTAACTTTCTAGATCCACTTCTGGTTCCATCACTAACATTCCATATGGCCGGTCACCCACGCCTTGTACTTGCTGCAGAGACAATAGTACCATATTAGCAACAGCAACAGTATATGCTATACTCATTTCAAATTGTTCAATCAGAAACGCTTTGGCTATAACCCTAAACAAAATAGAAATAGTTTAATAATAAAAGAGTTTTCTGGACATCTCACACTATTCAGTATTGCACAATGAAGAATTGTTTAATAAAAGTTTTTTTTTCTCTTTTCTATGTGCTACATTATCTGATATTGCTTTTTTCTCAATGGATTTATGTGTATATGATGTCTGTAAAAGATTTGAATTGAGAAACTGGGAGACAGCAAAATAAGTTCTAGAGCTTGATAAACACAGATATGCTTAAATCCATCTTTTATTTGATGTTGCTTCTAAAGCTGTAATAAACGATAAATGTGGGATTTATCACAAGGGTTTGCAAGGGAAGACATTTTTTTTATCATGAAAGATGCACATTTGAGTGTTCACCAGTTTATCACAAAAGAAAGAAGTGCAAGTACATATTTTTCCTTAGGGCAGCTGAACAAGTTTTGTGGCCTTTATCTGTGCCTGCTGGTCTTGCCTAAGGGATGTGTCTGGACCTTGTTCAGAGATTATTGATGTTATAGAAATCTTGCAAATAAATAGCTAATGAACACAAAGCATGTGCATACGGTGACTACTGTACATTAAGAACAAATTCAAAATCTGCTTAAAATTTGTATTTTGGGCACACATGGAATTAGATCATCTTGTTGGTCAAATTAGATTTACTTACAGATGTCTGGTAAGAAAGTATAGCATTATAAAGTTTTCTTGTTTTTCTATACCCTCCTCTTGCATCTGCTGTTGTCAATTGAGGTAACTCCCAAGTCGAGATAAGCTAAAACTAGTGTATGTGTCATTGCATTGCTGCATGTGTTGTTCTGTTGTTACTCACACCCATTAAGTAATATACATTATTGTAGCAGATAGATTGTAGGGGCAAATCCAAGCAACACTATCAAGATAGACATGAAGTGGAAGTGAGTCTAGTTTGTAAATTAAAGCCTCCTAGTCTACTTGTCTGCAAATTCTTCTGATCCAAATTCCAGTCAAAGCAAATGAAAGAATATGAATCCTACTCCCTCCCCACAGATGTTAAGCATCATTTATTTTAAAAGGAACATTCTGACACCAGTAGAGTGTAAGAAACAGGTCATTGCTTTTTTCTGAACTTAGGCTTAAAAGCAGCCCTGCCATATAACAAATAGCATTCAATGTTTGCAAAATGCAATAAAGATGTAAAATGAAAGCATTGTCATGACTGCTAATTTTATATTGTGCAGTTATTTTTTGCATTATCATGAAATTAACAGCATAATCAGAGACAATGCTTTTTTGGCACATGTCAGAATGGCAATGTTGCCAATGTTGGTTTGTAGAAATACACTGGATGCATGGAAGCAATTGTAATTTACACACTTTATCCTCCTCTTTAAAAGGCTGCAAATTATGTTCCCTGAAGCAATATAACATATTCTGTTTCTAACCTGCACAAATGACTGATTGATTAGCATTTGCGATCATTTTTTACCTAATCACTAGTAGCTATATACAATATCTGTTATATAGTAATAATAATAATAATGTAATATAATTGTTAGCATTCTAGATGTACCAAGCTTGTACGTATTACACCTATATTGCTATGTTTGGGCAATTGGAAACTTAAACCTTTGCAGAAAATAAAATCCATATTTTAGTAGGAAATTATTGTTTAAGTAAAGGCAAGGCACATTCTAATTATGAACCGTAGGTCTCCTTCCAAAGTAGAGACCTCGGTTATGCTTTACTTGACTTTTAATTAAGCCACATATCAGCTATCAAAGGCTAATTCCCATTACAGAAGCTACGCTTCTCAGGACAGAGCTAGGAGTTTATAAAAGAAATCAGATACACTTCATGGAGCATTTATAATTGTTGTGGTAGGAGGTAGGGACATGCTGCATTCTGTAATGTTTCACAGCATATCTCCAAATTCAGTTCATTTTAACAACATGATGAAGCCCATATAACAATTAAGGGAGGTGGGAGGAAGGCTGTTTGCATGCCACTGCTCAGTCAAGTATAAATATGACACTAGAAGGGTTAGTTGGAAACAAATCAATTGATGTAGCTTAATCACATAGCTAGTTATATTCCTTGCATCACAAAAACATATATACTGCATTATCCCTATGATTCAGGGGTAAAAAGTATAAGACAATGTTTTGAAATAGAGGAAATCAAGACTGTGATTTCTTTACCAACTTGACATTTCATATATTTAGACTGGGATGAGGTATCCCTAGATAGCCCAAAAAAACATTTTTGCATTAAACAATATTTCTACACACTATTCAGTCATGCAGCGCAAAGTGTAATGATGATTTCTAAAGTGCAATCCCTTGCAAACAATTTGACTTGAGTTTGCTGACGTCAGATCAATAAAACATGAATTTAGATTGGATCCTGTGTATCACTGCCTCCACATTTTACTCTTCACCTTTTTATATTAAAAAAAAAACATATTCTCTATATGTACAGTGTATCTAAGGAAGATTCTCATTTAAAGTATATCTTCAACCCAGAAAAAAAGACTACATTTAGAATGCCTCATTTGAACAGACAAATCTAATTATTTTAATCATTTTATAAACTTACTTTTTCAAGCTATAAACATCATTGTGCATGCATGGTGCTGTACCTACATCCTCTGCTACATGAACAGCATAGCTGTGGGTGCACTTATTCAAACTGTTACATTTCCAGCTTGCACTGGACTATACTTCCAATGCCCTCTAGCACTGCAGTTTCCAGTGGGCAGTCCTTGGGCTGCATCTGCAGTGAAGAGGTTAGCTGTACATGTAGGCAGGCTGTATATCTTTTCTCATTTCTCATTATACCATGCTCCAAGATCAGTGGCTAAAATGCAGTACGGACTAAAAACTCCTAATAAAAGGTAAAAGGTCCAGGATTTTATACACTGCTAGAAGATGAAACACAAAAAAACATTTCTTTCACTAGGATTTCAATTAAGGGTGATGCATTTGCATCTAAAATAGGCCAGTGATACAAAAACAGTTTTGCCTCATTATAGGGATACCTGACATAAATGCAGGTATAACTGCATAGGCATCTTATAGGACCCAGAGAGAAGAGTACCTATTATGATGGTAAGGTGTTATTGGCATGATTCATTTTCTGATGCTATAATATAATGTTCTGGAAGTTTCAAAACATTAAAATCACCAAAAACAGAGTCCAGTAATAAAATTATTCATCTGAAATTATTTAATACAATATGGATTATTCCTGTTTTTGCTGGGTTTTATTGAAACTCGGTACATACATTTTTTTCCAATAAGGTGCTAAATAAAGATGAACAAACACTGCCCACAAATGCCCTGAACCCCTAGACAGAACCATTAAAGTAGATCTAAAGCCAATCATTAACATCCTATATAAGCTTTAACATGTTAATATTTTTTTAAAACTTTTTTTAAAAGTTGCTTTTAATACTTTAATACAGCTTCAATTAAAAAAAAAGATACCTGCTGATCCTGCCATGAAGGTCCTTGCTCAGGAATTTGCTTTTATAGTATGAAAACTGCCATCCAGCTGTGCCACTGCATTTTCACCCTGTCACATGCACTACTAACTAGGGCTACAAGTGGCTGTTTCAGCAGACATTGAACAGGCATGGTGGGCCATTGTCTTAGGAAGATATTTCAGAGCAAAGATGTGCAACTCATTCTGGAGTAACTGCATGTAAATAGGAAGCGGCTGAAAAAAGCTGGAGGAGATCAGCAGTACTGGGATGAAAACAATATGTGAAAAAAGGTAAAAAGAGTAATTTAGAATTTAAAAAAATAAGAATGGTTTATGATAGGGAGACAGTGCTTGAACAAAATAAATGTTCTCCACATATACAATAAAGGTGTGGTGCTATTATTAGCCTCTCAACAAAACTCTTCTTAAGTGTCATATGCAAAAACAAAACATAACTCAATCAAACAATGTGCACATTTACAATAAAGTGCAACTTTTGCAATTGTCAGGTGCAAACCTTGCATACAATGTACAAGTACTCCCTTATAAACATAAACGTGAAAATATCAATCAGGTGCAACTTATACAATTTACCAGAATCAAGTGCTGACACCGCTGACTCTGCACACAAAATGTGTTTGCATAAGCTCTCTGTTTGTTGTGATGTGCATATAAATGAGTATTTGCTACATTCTATGCACAATTTGCACTGTTACAGCAAATTGTATAGGTTGCACGTGATTGATTTTTGCACATTTATGTTATGGCGGGAACCCCAATAAGGCAAAAAACTATTTAGCCACTTAACTCTTAAAATACTAACCTCAGACTTAACATTTAACTCTAAACTCAACCATTAGCCTTAAACTAGCCCCCCAGTTAGCTCCCTATTTTTAAATGTCACCCCTAAAATTCCATAGTTCCTTATTAAACTCCTCTATCATGCATGGAATGCTACAATTTTTAATAAAACTGTCCCATAATTTCTCAAACTATATTATCCTTGCAATGAAAGTCCCATGAAGAAAGTTACCAATGAGGAAACCGAACACACTGGGATTTCCAACAAAGTATACACTGCAGTATTGGTGCTGCTCAATTCTTCACACCTTATATTACTGGAAATGTCCCTTAAAATATTATTTTATCAAGCTTACCTACCCATGTAAAGACATATTTTAAACTAAAACTGTCTTACCTACTTAACAATCAAAGTCATCACTGACAACTAACTAGCAAGGATTGGGCAATGTATGCGATAAGGACTTCCAACTATTTAAAATATGTATTATCAGATACAGGGATTTTTCCATCATATTAGAATGTTTCTGTGCAAGCAGGCGCTGATCATCCCATTGTCAATGAGAAAAGGGAAGGCTAATATCTCAACACATGTAATGCTAACCCCCTTACCCTAGTTACAGAGGTAATTGCAACAGGTCTGAAAGTAGCCCCCTTTC